ATATATATATATATATATATATATATATATATATATATATATATATAATGTGTGTGTGTGTGTGTATATACAAATGTATATGTGTGTATATGTACACACATATACATATGTTTTTTTTTTTGTTTTTTTTTGTTTTTTGCTAGAACTTCCAAATCCACAGTACTTTTTATAAATTTTCCTTAAGATCATCAATTGCTTCCCGTGACCAGGCTTTTTCTGTTCACACAGATGTTCACATTTAGTGAGAGATTTTTTTTTTTTTTTACCATTTTCTCTAATTTGATATGGAAGTATGGAGATGTTCATTCTTTGTAAACTGAGTTTTAACTATTAGCACATTTGTATTTTTATTTTGCATAAAAGTATCAAAGTATAAGTGTCTGTAAAACACACACACACAAGCATAAATCAGGTATAAAAAGCAGTGTGGGTTATGAGGATGAAAGTCTCTTATGCAATGATACTTTTCACATGTTGCTTATGCTTTATTTTAATTTGAAGGTCTTTGTGTAGATACATGTAAAATAACATTTTGTTTCCTAATGAAGTGGGTCTTGTGTTGCTTATTGTTACATTTTACCGAGCAGTTAAAGGAACTGCAGAGCAGGCATCTTTAAATCACTCGGTATAGAACAATATATGTCAGATCAACACTAGGAAAAATGTTTTATCTGTATTTTGCAGGGAACATGAGCCACATTTATTGTTGATACTCTAAAAGCAGATTGGTATTCATCACTTACACTAGGTTGTTAAAGAGGTGTTTGATCACTGCACTACTAAAGTTTTATAGTTAAAAACACATTTTGGTTTAATGTGGCTTGAAACAAATGTGTTGCATGTTTTTCACCGTCAGTGGGTGCCTGTATGTATGTAATGTGTGGTCTTCACCAGCAGAGGGCAGAAAAGAGCCGCTTCTGAACTGATCGGCTGCATTTTGGGTGATTTGGGGTCCCAAGATGTTTTTGATACTGTACATAGTTTTTATCATGTTGTACCAACATTGGGATTAAATTTATAACATCTTTGCATTATGTTTCACAACTGAGAGTGATGTTACTGCTCAATTATCAAATAAAACTCCATAAATTAATTTACCCTGCATGCATTTGCATGTGTATTTTAGGTATATTATGTGTCTGCAAGAAAACACAAAACATTTTAGTCTGTGAGGAAGATGAGGCGATGAATGGTTCTGCTTCAGCTTTCCTGTGTTTTTATTTTTCCAGACTTTTTAATTAATTAATTTTTTTGTTCAAATACAAACCGGATTCCAAAAAAGTTGGGACACTAAACAAATTGTGAATAAAAACTGAATGCAATGATGTGGAGGTGCCACCATCTAATATTTTATTCAGAATAGAACACAAATCACAGATCAAAAGTTTAAACTGAGAGAATGTATCATTTTAAGGGAAAAATCTGTTGTTTCCTAATTTCATGGCGTCAAATCCCAAAAAGTTGGGACAAGTCCATTTTTACCACTGTGTGGCATCCCCCCTTCTTCTTACAACACTCAACAGACGTCTGGGGACAGAGGAGACCGGTTTCTCAAGTTTAGAAATAGGAATGCTCTCCCATTCATGTCTAATACAGGCCTCTAACTGTTCGATCGTCTTGGGCCTTCTTTGTCGCACCTTCCTCTTTATAATGCGCCAAATGTTCTCTATAGGTGAAAGATCTGGACTGCAGGCTGGCCATTTCAGTACCCGGATCCTTCTCCTACGTAGCCATGATGTTGTGATTGCTGCAGAATGTGGTCTGGCATTATCGTGTTGAAAAATGCAGGGTCTTCCCTGAAAGAGATGAC